AGCCACTTAGCACACTTCGTTCTAATAACAATAATTCTTAGCCAATGAAAACTCAGGTAAATTCAAGATTGTTGTCGGAAAATGCTGCTTAAATGCATAAACAAACGTTTAAATGTGATGAATGGAGACTATGCTTTATAGTCATTGCGCATTCTACTATATTCTAAAAATATCGTGCCAACTCACCTCCCCAGGGAATGCTTTACCTTCAATTCGATGCTCAGAGCCAATTTGAGAGGTGCTACCAAATTTAATTACTCCGCCGTGTAATCGATATTGGTAAGAAAGAGGCCCCTCGCTAAAGTGGATGGGGGGGCCATCGGATTCAAGGAGAATGCTCACATCCTGGCCCATGTTGCTCACATTAAATGTTAACTAAATTAAAAGTAAGCAATAATGGTTAAATATTGACTCCCGAATGCGCTTATTTGCTAAGTTCTTTAAGGAAACAAACCCTAGTAACCATCAAGACACTGAATGCGGAGTCATTTGTTCAATATTAACTAATTTTAGGAAGCCATGTAGCTTACTATTCATAGACGTTTAACAGAATTTGAAAAATGCGAGTTGACCAATCATTTATCGACTTTTGAGGTGCTTCTAGCTATTATTGGCGCAAATGAGGCTTTGCTTCAAACGATAAATAAATATTTACTATCAAAAACGCAATAAAGCATTCAAAACTGCAGAGAACTAGGTGAATAATAATACTATTAGCATTAATAGCAGATACTTGAAAGTGGAAGTACCATTTTATTCATTTACCCTTAGTTTCCATTGGTCAATGTAGCTTAATTCACAACAGTGCTAGACCAAATGGATATTGTGCGAATTCGGCAAGTTTAAAAAAAAGTTAAGATTATTTAAACTGAGGCAACAGAACAGACTAGTGAATAACTGGTGTATAACCAAAGTGGGCAAGCAAATATATTGTTTCCCCAGAAATGCAACATATTTTTTTTTCATTAAATCAAATCTCATCGTTGCGGTCAAACCTCAGAAATAAACAGCACAGTTTTGTTTCAAAAAAACATGTCTAGATTTTATCATCTCAGAAACATGACAAACATGGTTTGTCAACATTAAAGTCAAATTTTGATTTGGCCGAAACACTTGGTTTAGCGAAATTGTCTTTAAAAAATCATTTTTTCGATCAGCAAAGTAAAGTGTGCACTTGTGGGTCGAGACTGAGAAATATTTTAACATCGAAAAATACCAGCACCCTGGTAATGCATTAGGGAGCCATAGGTCGCAATTTTTCACACCCAGGCCGACAAGGTCACGATGACAGCGGCTTGTCCACGCGATTTTCCAGACTAAAGTTTGAGAGCATGTGTTAAGAACACGTGCCGATGTAGCGAGGTCTAAGTAGCTACCGATTCAGGCGACGTCTTCGTCTCCTCACGCGGTAAGTGTTGTAATGCAAAACCTTACTTTTGCTATCAAACCGAAGCAGCTTTAGATCTTAAAAAGGCCTTTACATCTATTGTGGGTAAGCTGTGAAGTTGCCTTCAGTCCGAAATGGCAACCTTTAGTTCCTGTGTTTTGATGTCGGTGTAGTGAATGGGAATTTATTCAGTAGGCAAAAAGCACCTATAAACGCAGTTGCACACTCACAAGGCGGTGAATTTGACTGCAACACAGAAAGACTTAAAGCACAGCTTCCACTTAAACTAAAAGCCCTTCCTAAGGCAAATGCACACTTATTGCCCGCAACGCTTCGCACGTTTACAGACGCCTTTCGCCGTAGCGTAATTATGACGCTGGAACATCTAGATGTATTGCGGAGTTATGATCCCGTTTGTGCGCCTTTTTAAATGCAAGTGACGCATTGAAGAGGCCACTTGCCATGGAATGTGACAAGCTTCTCTCGCCCAAAGATGAAGCCCAATTTAAAATTACTGCGTTTTCTACACAAATGTTAAAATTTTGATAATTCACTTGGACACCCGTTTCTTAGGCCCTTCCACTGACAGCCACCACTTGAGTTGGTCCTCTTAATGCATCGGGTCAAGGTCGCCAAGGGCACACACAAACTATGCATTCTGACCTTCAGCCAAGGCAGCTGAAACGCCTTGTACGAGGTCCTGTGTGTGTGTGCTTTGGGAAGATGGCAGGGCACCTAAATAAGCAGTGTGTTCAGTCACCCCTGAGGGGTGTGTCTGTTTACCCCCAACCATAACAACGAAACATCTGAATTCAGGGCACAACTTTTCAGGTCTGTCCTAACTAAGCGCAGGATAGCTTATTTTAAACTGAATAGTAAATGATCAAATTGTATATTCTGACTGAAAATTCCTAAACATTCAACAGGAGCATATTTTTTTAGACGCATTCCTCGTAAAATCTGCGTTTAAAACTCAATCAGTGCGGGTAGAGTTGCAGAGAAACGCAAAAAGCCCAATTTGTCTTAAAGTACGTCAGTTATTTTCATTTACGTCATGAGATGCTAGTGAAAAAGGAGCCATGTATGTGACGTTGAACAGTTTAATCACGAATAACTAGGAACACATTACAGTAGTCAAAAAACCTGGTCACAGTACCTTTGAAATATATTCGGACTACCTTTGTTGATGGAGTTTTCGTAAAAGCGTATTATGCAAAAAAACGCATCTATCCATTTCTGAAAGTTAAATTTACGGAGCAATCCATGTCATACGTTAACCATTACACTGTTTTTGCTCTCGGTAACCGTATGCAATACTGTTAACACAAAATGTAAACATTTTAAACCAAGCGTTTGCTTAATGTGTTGTTTTTTTTAAAAATTTCAGCGTGTGGAATTGGCACAGTGAGTTCAATAGACCCAAACGAGGAGCCGGAGGTGTGAATTAAGAATTATAAACCACATTTTTATACAAAAAACGTGAAACCAAGTAACCAATCGGCTTTTCGCACTCGTCCTTAGTGCAAAACAATTATCCAATCATGCAACAGACTGCTGTTTGTCCACCAGTAGATAAATTTTAATACTTAGGAATAAGACTTAAATGGTGCCAGTTCTCTACAAAATGACTGTTTAAGATAACTTTATATATATGCATGAACCTATTCCACAAAAACTCAATATATTGCTGATTTTTTTCAATAATTTTTTTTAAAATGCGTTACTTCACATAACGAAAATGAAAATACCATGAATTTGCATAAGACAACCATTTAACATCTGTTTTCCTCCTTAACTTTGATAGTGGTTACGATTTAAAAACGAATTTATCAAATCAAAAGAACGCATTACTTATTAGAGTGGCTTTTTACCCTATTTTTGCAAACTTCACAGTGTGTTGTTGGTCATAAAGCTAAGTTCTTAGGTGAAAAATGACTACCTACTAATTAAATAAAAGATATTTAAGTTACAATAATGCAGTAAGCATTGTACTAGTTTTAAATGCAGTAAATTCACAGGCAGCTGCCTGAAAATCAAAGTTTTTCTTTCAATGCAAGATTTCATCACTTGCCTTTGAAGAAAGACCTTCCACGGTGAGTGGTTTCAGCGTGTGGTCAAATATTAGATCCTTGAGCCGGATGTTGATTGGTGACTGAAGGTGACCTTTGGCGCAGACAAACCAGATGTCATCAGGAAACATCATCGTTGCTCGTCCCCACTGATTTGGTCCTTTAGGAAAAGCAAACTGCGGTTTTACAACTTGAATCCCAGCTGCTCTCTAATCAGCACAAAAAGTTTGAATAAAATTATAACATTTTGCATTTGCTAAAATTTATCTGAAGTGCGACCTGTTTTTATGCAGATATTTGACCTTTCACTTTCAAGTTCGCAACCAATAATCTTTAAATTAGTATTCGCTTTTTTCTACTCTGAAATCGAGCAAATAATCTGTTCGATTTTATAAAAATGCCTTTTTAACAAAGTTAGAATTAAAAACCAATTTATAAGATCTGCTGCAAGTTAACCATTATTGCACCTTATATGATCAGTCTTCTTATTCTGCCGTTATTATTTGTTCGAAATTTTCCAAATATAATTACGCTCAGGTTGAGATAAAAAAAATAGCGACTGTCTGTTTAGGCGTTGAATAACGTGTGTGCAAGTTGAAAGATAGCAAGCTTTTGAAGCTAAAAATTACACCTGCCATTTCACTAAATAGCTGAATCCTCACCTGAGTTCTAAAGGGTCGCTGGTTGGAACCAATTTTTTCAACAAATCGCAGCATTGGTTAGCTACTAGTATGAGATGTCCCACCCAAGCAAATTTATCAATTGCCACATCTTTTCATAACTTTTTCACCCCACGCCAGTGCAACCGTAGTGTCAAGCAGACCATGGTTTAGGGTTTTGGTGTTTTAGCACGGTATAAGAGTGAAACTGCACGGCAGGGCAAATATTTTGCGTTTTTTTCGAGATACCGCCAGCAATCTTTTGTCTACAAAGGTAGCTGCTTAAAATGTCCATCCGTGGCTTGATAGTTTAGCACAAAAAATGAAAAATCAGATATAGTTTACCGCATAAATCCTACGTTATTCGACTTTTCAAAGTTAGGCAGTACAATTAACCTTTCTAAAGGGTGTTTGAGGCCTTTCGCAGGCAAAATTTAAAATTTTTGTGAATATTTACTATTTACTGTTTTTGAAATTCCAAACAACTATTTATTTCAAACTGTCGGTAGAAAAGTTGATAGGCTGCAAAATTTTTTTTAAAAAATGTTTTAATTAAAACACTTCAAGCGTCGTTGATTGAAATTCAAGACTAAGATATAATCAATAATTTTGAACACGAGTACTAAAAACGTCGATACTTTGAATGATATTCCATCTGTCATTCCAATATGTATAATAAAATATTTCATTTCTAGAATTTTATTTTTGCCAAAAACTTTACCACAGAATGGGTCTACAACTTGTTTATATAGAAATTCTTCAGGGTGTTCCAGTCTGAATGATTTAATTGACTCGTTTATCACTGTCATAGCAGCGCAGTTCAAAATACCGACTTGTTGTATTTGTAAAGCGCACTTTTGACAATTTCATTCCAAAGCCTGTTCCAATAAACAACATTTTTACAAATGCCTCTCCTTTGCCAGGTCTTTAAGAAAGTTAGTCAAACAAAACATTGTATTTCTCTTATGATTAAACTGAACTGTTCGCTGACCAGAACTAATGAAACACGGTTGATTTTAATGTCTACGGAACTGTTCATTAGAGTGGTACTCATTCAAGTCGTGTTGATAGCCACTGAACTCAATGATTATTCCATTGATGCTGCAAAATCTAATGCATAAATGCGTTTAACTAGTGCTGAGGTGTTTAATTTGATGATAAGGCCGGTTGTGAATCGCACTGATTCACACTCGTTAATCCGACCACTCCAACCTCTTTTCGCAGCAGGTCGTCAGTCGCGCGGATCTTCAACTCTCCCGTCATTAGCGCGAACGATTATCCTAGATTATTCTCATACCTAGGTCTTGATGTTAGCGCATCCATGACTCACGTATCTGAGGTATAAATACACACGCGCAAACGCCACACACGACACAACGACACCAACGTGGTCGAACTCGGAAGTAAACGGTTGTGTCCGCATCCTCTCCGATCTTTTTCTGCATCGCTGGAATCAAGGGAGCACAATCTGACCAGAGCCAATTCAGTTGCCCCGGCGTGGTTCAAGACCACATGCTGGGGCCCACAACATTGTTAACACCACAACAGGCCTTCGATAGTGCTTACTGATTAATCTTCTTCTAACAGCGCTTAGGTTGTCGCTGTTAAAAATGGATTTAAATTCTCGATAGTGATTACGTTTGATATAAAGATACATCAGTCAAATTGTGACCTTTAGAATTCTGGGTACGAAGCTTAACTTCAGACATTGCTAACGCACCAACGCGTCATTTGTGACTGAAAAATTCAATGAGCTGTAGCAAATCGGTGCGCACTCATTTTTTCTTGGTTGAAACGCCTATTTACCATGTAAAATTTACAACGAATTACGTCGATGTGTCATCTTAAGCACTCAGCTGATCATCAAATCGTTCTACGCATACTAATCGTGTAAACATGGCACTTTGAAGAATTGACTGGGCATCGTGCAGCAATTTATTATTAGTTTTCATTTAAAATTGCAGACAAAATAATGAGTCATGTGAAAAAATCTTTCATTGTCAAATTCATGCACATTTATGAAAGTCTTTTTCTATTAATGCCACTTATTTTTTTTCGGAATTAATTATCACCTAGTTACATGTAACTTCAAAATTTATCTAAGACAAAATGAATGTCTAACTGAAAAGATATGCCTCAGGGTCTGGAAACGTTTTTTTGCTACCAGTTCCTTTAATGAGGACCATAGTTTAGCGCTTTGAGCACGTACTTACAGGCCAAAATTATTTATTTCAAATCAGGAAAATGCGTAAAGTTTGTTTTTACGTCGATTTTTGGCTAAAAAAATTAATCCTGCATAGGCTGATAATGCGAGAGGCATCCCGAATTTCGTAAAATATTTTTTTCAAAATTTCCCTGCTTACTGTTTTGATTTATACATCAGTCACCTAATGGATCAAGGTTTATCTGAAGTGGGTTGATTAAAAACTAAAACTTAAAATCATGTCGAAGCCCTATTTAGTGTCTTTAAAAACTGAGGACATAAGTTGTACGGAGTAAAGTGCCCATTTTACCGTTAATCATTTAAATGCATCAAAAAATATTTTAAAATAACATTTCGAACAGTCTACAAAATATTATGATTTTCAAATATATTTCATGCATAATTGCAAATTAGGGGGGGTGGATAATGCTAAGAATAATTAAATAATCTGAAATATTAGATTTTAGGTTACGAAAACAGACGTAAAATTTTTGAATCTACGACTTTTTTGTATTCAATCAGTTGATTTTTATATTTAAAATAAAGTAGACACGTTTAAAAAATTAAGTCTACTGCATTTGGCACTTTTAGTAACAGTCAAGTTAAGAAAAACCTAGAGGGCGATTTTCGGTACATTTGCTTTGCACTGAAACAAAGTCTTAAAACATGATTATGCAATTTGTATTCGTTTTTGATTGCTCTTCTGCACCAATACACGATGGTAATGATTTAAATAGTCAATTCTAAGTTAGGACCTACACCCTGGCTGTTTTTTAAAATTGCATAACTTGATATTTCCTTCAAATCGTTGCTTTAACTCTGTAACTCTATACCTTATAAAACCCAAGTTGTCTGCCTATTTTCGGGGTTTTTGTCTAATTTTGAGGCGTCATTTTTCACATGCGCATATAGAAAAAGATCCTTCCATTTTTGAGACATGATTAAATAAGTGAAGCAGTATTTGCGGTAGGAAGGATTTACGGAATGCACGGTCTTATCACTGCTAAATATTAACATGTTTAAACCAACTACCATAAATCGCCGCTGTTCAAAACACCGAAGTACACATGCTTTCCTTCTGTCATCAATCTTTCCATGATTACAAAAACTGCATTACATGATTGGCTCTAAAACTGTCGGATTTTTATTTTGCAATGCAGCACTGCCAATCCGATGTCGGTTTTGCATTGAATAACTATACTTATAATGGTTTCTTTTTCATACAAAAATTTTTTTAAGTACCAATCTCAAAAGTATCGCGGTGATGCTTTGATGTTTGCACTGCTCTAAAACCCTTGTAACACGGAATTTCTAACGGATTTTCATGAAATCGCCAGGAAAGCCTCACGGTTCCTACATTATCGAATTCTGTGTAACTGAAATTGCCATATCTGTGGACCATCCGCATTTGTTGAAATGCAACAAAATTTTCGCATTTTTTTAAAATAATATCTGCATAATTTTGATAGCATTTGATAACATGTTCCTTTTTAATTTTAAACACATGCTAGCACGATGGAGAGCGTCTTATGTAGTAAATTCCGTGGTGACAATAAGTAGCCACATTTAGCCGTGTTAATTCAAGTGCGAATGCAATGCGCGCCAGGCAGGAAGGTTAAAAAGACACGCACCTCCTATCGCACCCTCCTTGTAGTGCCACCAATTGTCCCACGTTGAATCCCAGGCTCCATCTTGCCACAGACAATCGACAGAGATTACTAAAATTAAGCGCAAATAATAAGTAGCCTATTTTCGGTCACACTTGCGTCAACTTATAAACAAAGATTCGAGATATGTGCTGTGTAGTGCGCGAAGTCAAAGGTTATTCTAAATAGCAAAATGACTTTTTTGAGGTTATTGAGATCATTTAGGTCATAAAATACTCGACAAGGGAATGAATTTCGCGAGAAGGTTATTTGTCTGCAGAAAGTCACTTTACATGTGTGTACTCTGCGCGTCTTCCGAGTGCAATTTCAACCGCCCGGTGTGTGCATATATTTTTACTCAGAAATTGCTTCTAAAGTGTTTTAGCTTTCTGCCATAAACGGCTGATTTTCGGACAGAAAGATGTTATGACTGGTATCTAGCCACTCGACATCCAATTACTTGCATTTTCCTCTTAATGAAAACCCAAATAGTTTTTTATTTTGCACCGGTTTGCAATACTGCTTTAAAGAATAGACAAAAAATGCACAAATACCTTACGGTAGGAATCTTCTAAGGTTTTATTGGTGCTTAACTTGTTTCACATGCCACGAGCTCAAATCAAGCGGTGCAACAAAGCAGTGACACTTGCTCGTATAAATCAAAACCTCAAATAATTAAACAGAAAGTGTTTTAAATAATT